CGTTTCATTTCAAATCCATTGTGGTGGTGTATACAGCAAAAAATGTTAGAATTGTGGCAATGTCCCAATATTTATGGACCTGACTGTATATTTTCCAGCGTGCTCACATCATCTGTGATATCCAATTTCACCCACACCAAAGGAGGTTATTCAGTGAAGATTTACAAAGTGAGATACACCTGTGGAGACTACACCTCACCTCTAAGCCTGTTTGATTCTTAAGCCATATCAGCTTGGGAATCCACTTCATTTGGTGAGTGTGGGTGAAATTGCATATCACAGATCATGTGAGCACGCTGGAAAATATATACCTATGTAATATAATGTTTTTGTGCTGCATTTTTATTATAGTACTATTGTGCTTACAGCCTCATGTCTGTATGTCTGTAGTGTGAGCTCTAAGGCACTGCTGCCTCTGAGTGTTAGTCTCAAGAGATTTGTAGTGAGATTTGGTGGTGTCTCCACTGTTCTGCTCACTGTTCTCCTTGTTGGAGACTCTTACATGAGGAAGCAAAGCCCTGCCTTTACCAAGATGACCACCTCCACATAGTGACCCAGTGCTGAACATGGCATGTAATGGAGTAAACAGGGCTTAAAATTTCAAGTCCTGAGCTACTAGCCAGGCCTTAGAGTTACTCGACACCAACAAACACACACAAACAGAGACACCTGTACACACACACACAGACATGTACAAACACACACACACACAGAAACATGTACACACATGCACAGAGACACATGTACACACACACACATACAGACACACAGTGGCGGACTGACCATTTGGAAACTCGGCACTGCCCGAGGGCCCGGGGTCAGTAGGGGGCCCCATGAGATGCCCCTGGTACCTTTTTCATAGGCTTTTTTGAGTTTTGGCAAGGACACAGGGGCCCCATGATCCCCTATTGCCCGGGGGCCCCATGAGTTGTCAGTCCGCCCCTGCAGACACATATATACACACACAGGCACGTACAGACCCGCATACACACAGATACATGTACATACACACAGACACATGTACGTACATACACAGACACATGTACATACATACATAGACACGTTCACACAGACACATGTACGTACATACACACAAACACACATGTACAGTTGTGTTCAAAATAATAGCAGTGTGTTGAAAAAAGTGAATAAAGCTCAAAACCCTTCTAATAGCTTTTATTTCCATACACACAAATGCATTGGGAACACTAAACATTCTATTCCAAATCAAAACATGAAGAAAAATATATCAAATTTGTGTTGTTCCTCTAAAAAAATTGAAGAAAAATGAATATTAGATGGTTCAAAAAAATAGCAGTGTTTGTATTCTTCTTTACAAACTCAAACATTCACTATATAAACTGAAAAATGTTTGAAGATTTTGCTTTCCTTTGAATCACTTAATGAATATTTCGTTGTATAAGCACTGTTTCTGAGAACTGCTGTACATCTGTGTTGTATGGAGTCAACCAACTTCTGGCACCTGTGAACAGGTATTCCAGCCCAGGATGATTGGACTACATTCCACAGTTCTTCTCTATTTCTTGGTTTTGCCTCAGAAACTGCATTTTTGATGTCACCCCACAAGTTTTCTATTGGATTAAGATCCGGGGATTGGGCTGGCCACTCCATAACGTCAATCTTGTTGGTCTGGAACCAAGATGTTGCCCGTTTACTGGTGTGTTTGGGGTCGTTGTCTTGTTGGAACACCCATTTCAAGGGCATTTCCTCTTCAGCATAAGGCAGCATGACCTCTTCAAGTATTCTGATGTATTCAAACTGATCCATGATCCCTGGTATGCGATAAATAGGCCCAACACCGTAGTATGAGAAACATCCCCCATATCATGATGCTTGCACCACCATGCTTCACTGTCTTCACAGTGCACTGTGGCTTGAATTCAGTGTTTGGGGGTCGTCTGACAAACTGTCTCCGGCCACTAGACCCAAAAAGAACAATCTTACTTACAGTCCACAAAATGTTGCGCCATTTCTCTTTAGGCCAATCAATGTGCTCTTTGGCAAATTGTAACCTCTTCAGCACATGTCTTTTTTCAACAGTGGGACTTTGCGGGGGCTTCTTGCAGATAGCTTGGCTTCACATAGGCGTCTTCTAATTGTAACAGTACTCACAGGGAACTTTACACCTTCTTTGATCTTCCTGGAGCTGATTGTTGGCTGAGTCCTTGCCATTTTGGCTATTCTTCTATCCATTCGAATGGTAGTTTTTAGCTTTCTTCCACGTCTTTCAGGTTTTGGTTGCCATTTTAAAGAATTTGCGATCATTTAGCTGAGCAGCCTATCATTTTCTGCACTTCTTTATATGTTTTCCCCTCTCCAATAAAGTTTTTAATCAAGGTACGCTGTTCTTCTGAACAATGTCTGGAAAGACCCATTTTCCTCAGAATTTCAGAGAGAAATGCACTGTAACCAGCATGGACAACATTTGCTGCCTTCCTTCCTTAAATAAGGGCAATAATTGACACCTGTTTTTCAAAGAATGAATGACGTCACTAATAGAACTCCACACTGCTATTATATTGAACATGCCCCTTTCAATTAGTGATTCAATTACACAGAATCAGCAGCATGCATGTCATGACTGTTGGGTCTGTTGGATTTCTATTACTCTACTACACCTGCTAGTAAATTATTTGCCATGTAGAAATATCATTTCTACCAAAAACAGTGATTGATCAGGTTAGTGATGTCTGACTGCTATTATTTTGAACACAACTGTACATGCACACACACACACACACACACAGACACATGTACACACACACACACATACATGTACATACACGCAGACACATGTACAGATACACACATGTACAAACACACAGACACATGTACAATTGTACATGCATACACAGACACACACAAACACATGTACACACATTCCCCCCCCCCCATAAAAAGTTGCAGTACTTCGTTGTTCACTCACAGAGCCGGGTACTGCACTCTAGGGGGAGGCAGAGAGCACAGCACACACTCCTTGCTTTGCTTTCACTGCGCTCAGCTATTGAGCAGTCTGACGGCTTCCAGTACCAATGACAGATCCGGCCTGAGCTCCGAGCCTGCTCAGCAAGACGGCCCTGGGGGACACAGTTGCCCCCACCATAATTTCCACTCGTCATTGGCGAGCAGGCGAGTGGAAATTTCAAGCCCTGGAGTACAGATCAGCTGCATGGAGACCACAGGCTATACTGGTGACTAGTGCTTTGCATTCCACCTGTCTTATTTTGGGCACAACTTCCAGAGTTCAGTTCCTCTTTAATTGTTAGTGTTCTCGGGGTTGTGACCGCTATATACTCTGTGCTAAAAGGTGTTCCTCTTTCCTATCTCAGAAAATAGAGATGTATGGCTCCATGTTGTACAGATATCTGCATGTTTGATAAGTACACAAAGTAAGATTAGCATGTTCTGCACCATGGCGTGAGATCAGTCAGGTTGCTAGTATTACAAAAACATAATGAAATGCATTGATTTCCTTTTACGAAGCATAAATGCAGTTATTTAATAGGGAAGGGGGTGGAAGAAAATACAAGGAAATCATTTTGTGTGTTAAATAAGAACTTCAGTCCCTTTAAAGGTTAGCTCCGCCCCCTCTCTTTGGCACTCCATCTTTGAAAATCCAGCACAAGTGCAGATGTGTGGCACATCTGTATACAACATGGATTTTCCCCTGCATGTGCAGACAACCTGAGATCAGGGACCTTCATACCTGCGGTGTCTTTGTACATCTGTGAGCAAAAATATGTGCACAGATGTTCTGCTAGTCTCTGCCAAGTCCTGAAGCCCCGTGGCACATCTGCCCACTTGTGGAATACGGTGCCCCATATGCATCTTCAGACGCACTAGGAGAGAACATCATTCTTGCCTAGGTGAGAAGGGAGGAAGTGCTGTGATGCAGCACAATAAAGGTCAGAAATTAGGTGAGAGGGAGGAGCCAGGTGCAAATCACTCATTTTATTGGGTGAAGGTCTGCTTTAAAGTGGTTGTAAACCTCAGACATGAAATATGAGCAAAGCATATCCCTTTGTAGTGCGTACTTGTCTCAATTAAGAGCACTAAGTGTCATTTCTGTCTGCTGCCTCGTTCCTCTGCTATCAGCATGAATCACTTCTGACACAAAAAGTTGACAGCAGAGGGAGCTCCAGCACACACTCTGTGATTGACATCCTCATCTCTGTTCCTGTGTGCTGTGTGAAGGTGGTGTCTCCAATCAGCTCTCAGAACTCTCCTCACTTAGCTCTACAGTTTAGCTGTCTGCTCCCTTTCCCTGAAATCTCAGACAAGCTTTATAAATGCTGGAATTTGAATGGATGTAAGAAAAGAGACTTCAGATAAACAGGTACAACTTATGTTGGAGAATTTGTTTCATATCTGTGTGTTACTTGAGGCTAGTCACTTCACTGGGTATATGTAAACCTCTTCAAGTAAAGATGACCTGAGTGTCTGTAAGGCCCTGGTGCCATACCTTCGGCCCTTTGGCACTTTTTGTGCTGACCTCAGGGCCCCTGCAGACACTGATCTCTGTTTCACTAGTGCTCTGTTACAGCCACATATATGTCTCCAATCTTAGACTTTCTTAAAGCATGTTCCCAGTCTCCAACAACTCCTATAGCATGTCCACAGTCTCTGACAATCTCCTGCAGCATGTTCGCAGTGTCTGACTATCTCTTGTATTATGTCCACAGATTGTCTCTGACAATCTTCCGTACTGTGTCTGCAGTCTATGACCATCTTTTGTATCATGGCTGCAGTCTATGACCATCTTTTGTATCATGGCTGCAGGCTATGACCATCTTTTGTGTCATGTCTGTAGTCTCTGACCTTATTGTAGATGTGTCAACAAAAATGTTAGCATTGCCAGAGATTTCTGCACCATCTTTTGTATCGTATCGGCAGTCTCTGACCATCTTTTGTATCGTATCGGCAGTCTCTGACCATCTTTTGTATCGTGTCTGCATTCTCTGACCATCTTTTGTATCGTGTCTGTTGTATCGTGTCTGCAGTCTTTGACCATCTTATGTATCCTGTCTGCAGTCTATAACCATCTTTTGTATCATATCTGCAGTCTTTGACCATCTTTTGTATCGTATCTGCAGTCTCTGACCATCTTTTGTATCATGTCTGCAGTCTCTGACCATCTTTTGTATCCTGTCTGCAGTCTCTGACCATCTTTTGTATCGTATCTGCAGTCTATGACCATCTTTTGTATCGTATCTGCAGTCTATGACCGTCTTTTGTATCGTATCTGCAGTCTATGACCATCTTTTGTATCGTATCTGCAGTCTATGACCATCTTTTGTATCGTATCTGCAGTCTATGACCATCTTTTGTATCGTATCTGCAGTCTATGACCATCTTTTGTATCATCTATGTCATGTCTGACAGTCAGTCTATGACCATCTTTTGTGTCATGTCTGCAGTCTCTGACCATCTTTTGTATCGTATCGGCAGTCTCTGACCATCTTTTGTATCGTATCTGCATTCTCTGACCAACTTTTGTATTGTGTCGTATCATGTCTGCAGTCTCTGACCATCTTTTGTATCCTGTCTGCAGTCTATGACCATCTTTTGTATCATATCTGCAGTCTATGACCATCTTTTGTGTCATGTCTGCAGTCTCTGACCATCTTTTGTATCGTGTCTGTTGTATCGTGTCTGCAGTCTCTGACCATCTTTTTGTATCATGTCTGCAGTCTATGACCATCTTTTGTATCATATCTGCAGTCTATGACCATCTTTTGTGTCATGTCTGCAGTCTCTGACCATCTTTTGTATCGTGTCTGTTGTATCGTGTCTGCAGTCTCTGACCATCTTTTGTATCCTGTCTGCAGTCTATGACCATCTTTTGTATCGTATCTGCATTCTCTGACCATCTTTTGTATCGTATCTGCAGTCTATGACCGTCTTTTGTATCGTATCTGCAGTCTATGACCGTCTTTTGTATCGTGTCTGCAGTCTATGACCGTCTTTGTATCGTATCTGCAGTCTATGACCGTCTTTGTATCGTATCTGCAGTCTATGACCATCTTTGTATCATGGCTGCAGTCTATGACCATCTTTTGTATCATGGCTGCAGTCTATGACCATCTTTTGTATCGTGTCTGCAGTCTATGACCATCTTTTGTATCATGCCTGCAGTCTCTGGCCATCTTTTGTATCGTGTCTGCAGTCTATGATCATCTTTTATATCGTGTCTGCAGTCTCTGACCATCTTTAGTATCGTGTCTGTAGTCTATGACCATCGTTTGTATCATGTCTGCAGTCTATGACCATCGTTTGTATCATGTCTGCAGTCTCTGACCATCTTTTGTATCATGTCTGCAGTCTCTGACCATCTTTAGTATTGTGTCTGCAGTCTCGGACCATCTCCTGCTTCATGCCTATACTCTTTGACTATAGCCTATTCTTTGTCTGCTCTCTCTGATAATTAATATTCCCTGAATTTTATGTGTGGTCCTTTAGTGATGTTGGGGGCCACATTTGAGGCACCCCATATAACGAGAATTACTGTAAGGCTACTTTTATACTTGCTGCACGATTGCCGCGCAGGGTGAGATTCCAGGCCAGCTCAGTGCTGACACACTCCACTCTAAACTTACCCTGCCTGGAAGAGTTTTCAGAGTGCAGCTGAGAGCGAAGATTCCCCAAATTACAGGATTAATAGAGAGATAACATTAAGAGCCGCTTGTTACAAATTATTTGTGTCCCCCGATTTCTTGGGCTGCCACTGAGCCCCTCATCAACTGCCATTCATCTTGCTGGGGTGTACAAGCAGCATGCTCTTTAACTGTGTCTATGCTGAGCACATTTATTGCATGCAGTCCTGGGTGATTAAAATACATTCAAAGTATGTCTGTAGTCTCTGACCGTCTCCTGTAGTATGTCTGCAGTCTCTGACCGTCTCCTGTAGTAGTATGTCTGCAGTCGCTGACCGTCTCCTGTAGTATGTCTGCAGTCTCTGACCGTCTCCTGTAGTATGTCTGCAGTCTCTGACCGTCTCCTGTAGTATGTCTGCAGTCTCTGACCGTCTCCTGTAGTATGTCTGCAGTCTCTGACCGTCTCCTGTAGTATGTCTGTAGTCTCTGACCGTCTCCTGTAGTATGTCTGCAGTCTCTGACCGTCTTTTGTAGTATGTCTGCAGTCTCTGACCATCTTCTGTAGTATGTGTGCAGTCTCTGACTGTCTCCTGTAGTATGTCTGCAGTCTCTGACCGTCCACTGTAGTATATGTCTGCAGTCTCTGACCATCTTCTGTAGTATTTCTGCAGTCTCTGACCGTCTCCTGTAGTATGTCTGTAGTCTCTGACCGTCTCCTGTAGTATGTCTGCAGTCTCTGACCATCTTCTGTAGTATGTCTGCAGTCTCTGACCGTCTCCTGTAGTATGTCTGTAGCCTCTGACCGTCTCTTGTAGTATGTCTGCAGTCTCTGACCGTCTCCTGTAGTATGTCTGCAGTCTCTGACCGTCTCCTGTAGTATGTCTGCAGTCTCTGACCGTCTTCTGTAGTAGTATGTCTGCAGTCTCTGACCGTCTCTGACTGTAGTAGGCTTGCTGTCTCTGACCGTCTCCTGTAGTAGGTCTGCAGTCTCTGTGGACTCTGATGTAAGGGGGAACTCTCAGGGCTGTGATGTAAAGGGGAGCCCTGTGGACTCTGGTGTAAGGAGAGGGTGGTGGTAACCAGAGATCCTCATACATCAGAGTTTCTCTTTACACTAGAGTCTGCAGCATCCCCCCCTACATCAGAGTCCACAGTGTTCCCTTTTACGTCAAGGTCCACTGAGTTCCCCTGAGAAACTGTAAAGGTGAACTCTGTGCTGGATTATATTAACCTGACCTTCATGTAAAAGGAGAAATGTTTTTGCCTTTTGTATACTTTAAACACATTGCTAATCCCACTAGGTACATGTTTATGGCTTAAATATTGATATTTGCACTGAAAATGACCATTTTATGTGATTTTCTGAAGTGCCAGTAAAAAATGTGTCTCTGTCTGTAAATTTTAATGATATTTGTCTGTAAAACAATTGGTGCTGTTTGTATTTTTTTGGGCATCCTGTCAGTAAATTTCACTTTGGGGGGGGGGGGGGGGGTGGCTGGCGACACTGCTCCACTGAAGTTGGCAAACATTTGCAAAATGGATAGTGTAGGGACAGGATCTCTGCTGGGTAGGGCAGTGCATGTAGCGCTAGGGAGAGGTTCCTCTTCGAGGAGAGATAGTGCAGGTACACTATGCCTGGTTCTGCCATCTGGGAACCCTAGAGAGTTTGGGATGAGGAGCTTCCTACTGATCACTAGAGGTGCTTGCACCATTGGGCTGCCTATCAGCCACCCCTTCATCAGATGCTGTTTTGGTAACGTAGCTTAACAAAGTGCCCTCTCAAGAACAGACGGTGTTAAAGTACCGCCATCGTTGTTAAGAGCGGCTATACCTGGGTTTATAGATAAAAAAAAAAATAATGATAAAATGTATTTCTATAAAGATTGTAGTGCAAATGTTCGTGGTACGCTGGCCTCTTCCTAAGGCAATCACCGAGAAGGAGCCAGTGTGCCTTGAAAGCGTGCGCGCTACAATCTTTTTTGTTAGGCTAATTCTGCTTGGTCTTCTGCCTTTAAAAAATATAATATTTTGGGGGTTTAAGTCATTTTTATAAGCAAAAAATATGCCTTTTGTGTGTGAAAAAATTGACTCGGGAGTTAAAGAATCAAACTGTTTGGGTTTGAAAATGCATTTTTTTGGAGTATAAGTATTTCTTCACTTTTGTTTATCATTTTAAAAATTTCATTTATGCTAGGGGTTCCAAAATCCCAAAATACTGTGCCCAACTGATAATACCAAGAGCTAACCTACAACTGTCAAGGGCACTGGACTTCACTGTTCAGATTAGGGGGCAGAAAATATAAAGCCCATACAGTACAAATATGAGGACATTTGCAGGACGAGAATGCATCTATAGAGAGTGCATAGCTTGGAAAAAGTTGCATGCTATTTCTAGCAGTGTACTCCCTGGAGAGATGGGGATTAGCATTTTGTAGGGAGTGTGCAGGGTGGAAAAAAGTTAGAGTCCATAGAGAGCAAAGCATGGCTCTTTACAAGTGTATTATAGTACCTTGCAGGAATTGTAAATAGAATGTAATGTGAACACCTTTATTGTGATTCTTCCAGGGAATATTACTGTGTTTTTTAGCAGCAAACGAAAATGTCTGTCCAGTTTTCTAAAGTATATGTGAAAGTGATTAGTTGTGGCCAGTCTATGCACATTGAGATATTTAAATACACAGCAGTAAATAAGTGTTAAAACAAACCCTCACTGACTTCTGTGACCACAGCTACTGTTGAGCAATTCATCTTCAAATTTACAGAAGTCCTTCTAGCTGGGTCTCAGCACTCTGCTGTCTCCCCTCTTCTTCCTTTTTTACCTTCTCTGTGTTTATATTAGAATTTAGAAGGCTGGAGGTGAGAACCTTAGCTGTACAGAGAAAGTGAAAGGAAAAATGAGAAGCTTCTGCTGTATATAATGACAATAAGTTACTCCGCAATGGCTGCAGCTATTGGGGTTTATAAGTTTCATTCACATGACGCTTACAAGCAATAATCTAGCATCCAGGAAGTGCAAAGGCATGGCTTAGGCAGACCATACACAGGTCAAATTCCGAACGAATTTTCTTTAGAAAAATGGGAAATTTTGTGCATTTTGTAATCCAATGGTTCCACCATTGATTTCGAAATTCAAAAAATTTCCAACGTGCCTGATCACTCAAATTTAATGGTTGCATGAAAACTGGCCATTTCTACGGCCCAAAAATGGTGCGAAATTTGAACAAAAATTCTTAGAAAAGATTTTTGAAAGAAAATTCTTTCGGAATTCGACCCATGTATGCCTGGCTTTAAATAAGAAGTTCATGGGAGTAGCAAGGAGTTCAAAATTAAACCAGAAAGAAGACAGAAAGTAAGTTTGTCCAAGTAATCAGGCAAGGCACTGTCCAGCATCTCGGGCTCAGTAAGAAGATCCGTTACCAGATGCAACAGAGGTTGTGTGTTCAGATACCGGTCCTGACAGGCATTTTGAAAGCCTGGCATAACTAATTTCCTGGTGATTTCCAACACCAGGTGAGCCACACGTGACAAACAGCATAGATGGGGAAATCTGTACTGCTGGCATCAGTGTATTCAGGCAACTACAGCATTCACAGCTGCCTGAATGCCCAAGCAGCTACTCCTTGTGATGGGATGCAGATACTGTGCAAGGGAATTCCAGTATGGCGACTGGTGCATAGATATGCGAATACACATAGCATTGCTCATAGAAATGAGAATAGATGCATGCAGGAGCGTGTCTGCAGTTTTTGCTGGCAAACGGGCTATTGAAGGGATTCTCTTACTCACCGTCAGT